AACTTTAGTATTATTACTTTTAGTTTAAGTAGTATAGTAGCTTTAAGCTTTATTTCCTCTAACTATATATAAAGGTACTTAACTTTAGTATTAAAGTTAATAATTTTAACTACTAGATTAATAACTATAGTTACTAAATTAGTATTTATAACTATTAGATTAATAACTACTACTACTATATTAGTATTCTTACTACTAGTAGTAGATATTATAAAGGTTAACTACTTATAATCTTAAAAGTAACTTACTAAATAGGACTAATTAAAATATAATAGTAGCTTAATCCTAATCTATAGTTAGTCTACTTCTTAAGTAAAAAGTTAGTTTAAATATATAAAGTATATATAAGTAGTTATTATAATATAAGTTATATTAAAAGATATCTCCTAATAGTAAAACTATTACTTAGATTAATTAGTAGAGATTTAGACTACTTAGCTATAAGAATACCTCCTCTTTAAGTACTTATCTATCCTTCTACTATAACTCTAGATTAGAAGGCTTAACCCTTAATCCCTTAGATCCTATTCTTAGATTAATAGTTTAATAGCTTAAGTCTTTAATCCTAAGGAGATTATATAATCTCCTATCCTTTTAGTAGCTAGTGTAATAAGCCTTCACCTTACTTCTCTTAGCCCTACTTATACGTCTTATAGTATTTATAATATTATACTAGGAGAATAAAATAAGGACCTATATAGCTATTTAAACTTTTTAGTTTATTTACTCTATACTTTTATTTTATAAGTAAAATACTATAGAAACTGTCTACTTAGTGTCTATTAGTAAATATATTATATATTAGAGTAATTCTATTTAATTAAAGTCTTAGTTATTTCTAATTACTATAAGGAAGTTAAAGTACTACTATTAGTAGTTAAGGAACTAGTATATATAAGTCTTTATTATTATAAATATTATTATTTCTAATTAAATATACTTTAATAAGTAATCTATAATTACTATTAAGTATTATTATTTATCTTTAGTTTAAACTAGGATATTTATTATAAAGTCTATTAAAATCTATTATTAGTACTTATTATCTACTAGTATTATGTATAATAGACTCTATTATTAGTATTAGAATATATACACTCTATAATATAAATAATTATATATATATTATACTATATTTTAAAATATTTTTAACTAATAGAAGTTATATAATTATATAACTACTTTAAAAGTAATCTAGAATTACTTACTATTTTAGAATATTATCTAACTATACCCCCCCTACTTACTTAAGATTATTAATAGTAAAGTAAGTAACTAATTAATAATTTATTTAGAACTATTTATTAACTAATTAAAAAAAAAGAATTAACTAACTCTTTTCTTCTATTAAGAATAATAATAGTAATAATAAACTAAGTAATTTATTAATAACTTATTTATAATAATTTATTAATCTAAAATATTATAATATTAAAATATATAGTGTATATTAAAAACAGTAGGGTAACCTAATCTAAGGGTCAGGTCCCTTAGCTGAACTCACTGAGGTACCTACCTCGAGTACTATCGGCTGACGCAAATACGATGCGGGGCGGATTAAAGATACTCCAGGCGCTTTGTTCGGGGACTTCCTCCAAACAAGGCCGTATCACTGAAATTACCCCTGTGACTGACTACCATCGCTGCGATGCAGCAACACCAGCGGCGGCCCATTGCTAAGCGGTCGGCTTGTGACCGATGTCGAGAGCACAAGGTGCGATGCTTGCGATCGCAAGGCCAAGGCGATGGACCCTGCGTCCGTTGTGCCCGAGCTAGCGCACCCTGTGTAATGGGGGCTCCGAGGCCACTGGGGCGTCGTCACATCAGCCCCAACGGCACTCACGAGCAGCAGGGATCCCGAAGACCACGGCATTCAGTATTTGTATCTGTCACGGTACCCAGGTCTGCGCCCGAAGTGTCTCCCGCATCCGTTCCGGCACCAGAGCCCAGGACCACCACCAAATCGGCACAGGAATTTGCATCGCGGCCGACTCGCGGCAGTGGCAGCCTCGAGTGCTTCCACAACCCCCTCACTATGGACTCCGACCTGTTTAACATGTTCTTCGACGAGGGAGTGTCCGGCAGCGAGACTCCGGACGCCATCGTCAACGCTCTGGATCTCAGATTCCCTAACGACGCTGTCGCATTCTCAGACCTTGTCGGCGGTCCCAACCCAGGCGCTTTCACCAAGGACGCAGATCTCCATGAGTTGCGTGGTGGAGAGCAGCCGGCGTCAAAGTCGCTCACCGCTCTGCCTGGTACCAACACTCCGGTTTTCTGCGTTGACCCTGCTTTTCAGCTTCAATCTCTACCTGGCAGCGCCTTTGACATCGCAAATAGACTGCCGGCTCCGTCTCTCAGCTCGAGCAACGTCCTCACCCGGCTTGCTCGCCTCAACGAGGGCATCGCCGATCAGCTTTCGCACATAGATACTTTCGTTTTGGGCATTCCCCCTCCAAATCTCCTCTATTCATGTGTTGACAAGGTCGGGGATTTGCAGGCCAACCCTCTCCTCCGGGCGCTGGAGAGTACATCTGAATTGACTGCCATTGCCAACCAAATCATCTCGCCGATCCAGGACCACAGCTCATCGCCTTTGAACACACCGGTCGTGCTCATGTGCTTGTCTGGCCACATACAACTGCTGCAGGTATACAACTCCATCTTTGTTCACGTCCAGCGGTTCTTGAGCGGCCTGCATGATGTCCTCGGCTTCTTTGAGAATTTTCCGGGGTTCACTCATATCAGCGGCCTACCGCCCATCAAGGGCGACTTGTATATCAAAATCGTTGTTCAAGTGGCCCAGCACAATATCAGTGCCGTCGAACGAGTTATGGGCCTCCCGGCTGCGTTCTGCCTTACAGCGCAGCGGACGTCCTCAAACAGCTTATTCGGCTACTTAGATTCACCTGACTCATTTCAAAGCATCATGGACCAGGCTTGCAATCCCTCTGAGAAGTCAGCACGAGCCCTCGCCGCATCCTTGCGAACAAACATCAGAAATGTGCTAGGTCTCCTGAGAGATGATGACCAGTTTATGCCGGCAGTTGGTTTTGAAACGCCCGAACCAAGCTAATATCAGCGACTTGACACCATAAAGCAGAAACCCTACTAGCACAGAGAAATCGAACTCTACTACAGTTCGGATACGTGTATAGAGGGATTATAGAATAGCAGGGGGGGTAGAGTTATAATTTCTAAGCCTAGGTATTATTCATAGCCGTTATTATTATAATATAAGTTATTTTAAGAAATATCTCTTAATAGTAGAGTTATTATTTAGATTAATTAGTAAAAATCTAGTTTAGTTATTTACTAGAAATTCTCTTTTTTATATATTTATTCTATTCTTTACTATATTATTAAGATTATTAGATTATTTATTTATCCTTTAATCTTTCTAATTATAGTAATTAATAAGTGATCTATTAATTACTTCTTAGGTTATATAACCTTATATCCTATTCTAGGTACTAGTGTGTCTAACTTAGTCTAACTCACTTAGCCCCACCTATGCATCCTATGCGTTCGTAATAGAAAGTTAGTATTAGACGGACTAAACTATAAACTAAACATAGGGGTAATTCGAGTAATAATACAATATACACTCGCCACAGTAAGGTTTAGTAATTAATAAGCTAAGAACTAGAATAGGCTTTTTTTATCATACTATACGGCCATATCTATAACAACATAACTAGCGACGCTTTAGTCGCTATAGATAGGACTCTAAACACTTAGGGAATAGCCCTTAAGCTAGTTAGTTATTAGTAGTAAATAACGTAGAACGCGAGCTACTAGGATAGAGTGATAAAGTGGAAGCGATCAGAGAACGACAGGAATAAGTAGAAGGAATAAGGCGAATAGTTAAAGAGTTACTTAGACATAGCTAGTGAGCCCTATTAGCAGGAAGCCACCGGGCGTAATAAAATAATGAATTAATACTCCTATTTCTATATAAATTTATATATACGAGAACGTTTCCCAGGAGAAACCGTATACGGATTGAGTGTATATTATTCTTTAAAATTCCTATGTCTCCTATTAGATGGCTGCCACGAAAATGGCATTCTTACTTAACAACTAAACACCACCCACACAGCTATCTCTTTTTGTTGTCTGACAGAGTCATCTGCTGCAGCACTGCATTTCGGTGCTGTACATAGGCGACAGCCGCAGCGCCCGGTCCGAAGATACTAGCCAGGAAAATCGCCTTCCAGAAACCGATTCTTAGACTCTGTTGGCCGTTTCTCCCAGATTTTGGTATGGCAGCCCCGCCTCTGTTCCAAGCCCACACTAATAACGCCACGGTGGAGATTATCTCATTCGCAGTCATAAATAGGGCGACACCCTGCTGGGTACTTTCAACCTTCACAAAGACGCTTCGCCATATAGATGCGACAGGCCACAAGGCACCGACCGATAAGGAGGCGACGATCGGTGCAGGTAGCAGCCGAGGGAAGAATTTGGCGAACAGCACACCTGATATCACTAGCAAGTGCGGTATGGCAGCTATCCAGAAGGCGACGGTGTAAAGTTTGTTTAATTCGCGAGCTTGCTCCGTGCCGGGGTCTTCCTGTCGACTGCAGTTTTGCTCGCGACTTCTTTGGCTCTTGGTAATGAGGAGACCGTGCGCAGTCGCAAATAGAAGCGGGTGGAAGAGGCGAAGTAAAATCCAGGTTTGCTGAGAAAACAATGCGGCTTCAGCATCCGGCCTGCAGATTAACATAAGAAATGTTGGGATTCCGGTAGAGAGGACGAAAGACCAGGGCAGCATTTTGATTTCGGCAATGTCTAACGATGAGGCCGAGCAAGGTGAGGATGCGGCGCGAGGTTCGATTGGAGACTGTTGTAGGTTGGAAGCACACCATGCCGGAAGACCAAATGCAACGGTCATGAACTCCATAATCAAGCCCCATATCACATATTTTCGGCTCCGTCGCGGGGGACGAGTGTTAGTCGAACCTTTAATACTCGGCACCGACTCCAGCAAAACCAAGATCCAGGCCGCCATCCAAAGCCCAAAAAAGTGCCCCCCTTGAATGAAGAGGCTCAGGTTGTGAGGGTCGAGAATTACGTAAAAGACGCAAATCATGACAGAAAAGTTGACATCCAAAAGAGCCAGGCCAGTCCAGCTAGTCCGCAGCGGAATATCAGTACCTGGCAAGACCGGATGCGCAGAGTGCACATTGTCCAGTATCAAGCCGGACATGCCACTTTGGACACTGTGAAGCACTGGTGCGAGGAGAGCACCGAGCGAGAGCAGATAGAGTACCACGGAAGGCTTTGGCATTGTCGACATCCTGTCTCTGTAAACTTCGTCTCCTGTCGATTTATAGGCAAGAGATACTGAAGAGACGATTCTAATTTGCGCAACGGCGTGGTTGAGAGGTGCAGCTGTATATAGCTACGCCTGGTGAAGCTTTAGCTCCAGCCACACTATTTCCACAAAGAATGATTATGGGATACAAAAAAATAAATCGAGCCGTATAACGTGCGTATCCCGTTTCTACCCCACACATCTATTCTAGTTTACATAATCAGGCGATTAAGGGATAGAAGTTGTATAGAAACTATTCCCTTTTGTAACTTTAAATCGCGCCATACTAGCCTAACGGAGACGATTACGTGATGAAGAAAGGAACCGGATTGTAGTAAAAGCTAGTGTCTCCCGCAGCTACTGTACCCCGCACACACTTGTTTCTATAGAATTTAGTAGTAGCAGCCAAGAGTTGTTAGCTACACTATTCGTCATTCTGCTTCAGCCTAAACTAGTTACATTCGAAATAGCCAAACTAGAATGGCTAATGCTTTCCGAGGTATAGATACCTAAGATGCAGAGATCCGAGCACAGGGTCCTATGCCATCAAGATGCCTACGGAGTGCCGAGCGCGCCGAGGTAATGTTTTGTATAGAATTACAAGAATATATTATACAAGGTTGCACACCACTCAACTCAATCCACTGCAAAGCCCAGTGGCGTTGAGTTGACCTAGTCAATTGGGAGCCTCAATGGGCGTTGATCAACTGGGACACCTAATTGAGTTGAGTTGATATAAATTGACGTTGATTTATAATATATAGCCTCTGCTTTCATTCTCTTCCGTCTCGCCCTCCGACTCGACTTCAGCCGCGTCACCGCATCAGTCAGGAGGAACAAGCAGATCATTAAGATCTTCAATCACCCCTTCACGTAACCATGACCGCAGCACTTGGCACATGCCAATGATGTCAGCATCGAGCCGATTTCGAAGAGGCGTCACCATCCGCCCTACTGCCGAAAACAGCCTCTCGCATTCCACCGATATAACGTGGATCGTCAGAACATCCAGCGCCATCCGCGAGAGCCGAGGATATCGCCGTCTACGTCCTCCCACAATGACTGCCACAATTCGAGCTCGTCTACATCATTATCTACATTATCGTTTCCATCAAAGCAGCGAGAGCCAGTTAATTCCTCCTTCGCCACACTAGGCCCAGACATAGATCGTGTACGCTCATAGTACGCATGGAAGGGATTATAATACTTGCTCTACCACTTAGCCGTAGGTCTTTTTAGCAACACAACCTAGCACTCTTCGTAGGCGGTAGTATTGCGTCTCCTAAACCTCTAAAGCCGTTTGCTTTATATTAACCACCTAGTTAGGATAATCTTTCTACTTATTCTTAAAATAGCCCTATTAAAACGGCGGATATAACACTAAGGTGGTATAGTAAATTAGTGTCTTATCCAGCAGGCGGTAGTATTTATTAAGCTTTTCCTAGCCTAGATTAATATTAATCCTTAAGTGCTTAGAATTAAGTATCCTGTATATAAGCTGCTTATATTTCTTAAGGACTTCTAGGAGAAACTTAAACCCCTAAACGACTTCCTATATATTTCCGTACAAGCCAACCTATCCTCACTTTCGCCTACACAGCTAGCCATCGCCTTCTAGAGTCCACACAGTGTCTTTATAGAATCTACACAGCTTAGATAGATGCTCTCAGACTATATAGATTTAAGGCTCTAATACTAATACACTAACTGGATGTACTAGATCTAGTTAAAAAGTTATATAGCTCTAAGTATTATTTATAGCTATTATTATTAATATTAGGACCCTAGGTATTATTTATAACTATAGGTTATTAATATTAGGACCCTACGTATTCCTAATTTTTTATATAGCCCTACCTAAAGTGGCCTAAGCTTTAATAGTAAGAATGTATTAATAAGTATAGACTATTAATTACTTAATTAATTAAACTAGAATAGTTAGATTTAATAAGTAAGGTTATATAATTAGTAACTACCTAATAAAGAAGTTAGATAAAATACACTTATTAAATATATATATAATATAACTAAACTTACTTAGTATAATAAACTAGACTACTTAGTTTTTATATATTTATAGTTTTATAACTATTTACTTCTATAATATAACTATACTAATAATATTTATAATAATAAATAAGTATATCTACTATAATAATTAGTATAAAATAATACTTTATAGAGACTACTATACTACTATCCTACTAAATAAATAGTTTAATACTTATATAATATATATAGTATTAAAGGATAAGATTTAAAAGAGATTATAGATTATATAGTACTATTTAATATTATTAATATTAAAAGTATATAATAATATCTAGATTATAGTTAACTATATATACTTTTATATATAAAAAAAGAGTTTAATTATACTAAATATTAATACTTAATAATTATATATAATATAGTAATAAAGTATTAATATATATTAAAATATACTAGTTTAAATAGAATATAATAAAAACTTCTATTAAATATATATAATAATATATTCTATTTAGTCTACTAGTATAAAAGAAATAAAAAAAATAATTAAATAATAAAGTAGTAAAGTAGAAGACTAAAGCTCTTAATTTACTATATAAGAGTTTAGATTATAAAGTAGATTACTATAGTTAGTATATTAAGACTATACTAAAGGAGGTACTATAGTATCTCTATAGAATAGAAGCTAGTAAGCCTAATAGTTTACTATTTAGTTATAATAAAGGAGAATAATCTAAATAGAAGTATAAAACTATTAGTTACTACTATTATAAACTCTACTAGTAGGTATACTAACTAAAGTGAGTATAGACTAAAGAAGAACTAAGTATAATATTTATAGAGGAATAATAAAGTTATATTAGTAATATTATAGAGGAGATTAGGACTAAACTAGGTTATTTATTAAACCTAAGAAATATAGAACTACTACTAATAAATAATAGTAGTTATTTAAGTAAAGAGAGTAATATTAGTATAAAGGATAAATATACTAGTTATATAGTATAAAGTACTTCACTTAGAGGACTCTAGTTATATAATAATCCCTTTTATATTTTTATAAAGATAGAATTATTACTACCCCCTTATAGAGAGCTTAGTAGTAGCTTACTATTATATAGATACTTATATACACTTAATATATATAATATAGGGGCTCTAATAGGTGCCCTAATAGGGCCCTAATAGACTGCCCTTCCTTCCTACACACTATCCTTAGTGCGCCTATTATTAAGTATATATATAGTAGTACTAAATATACTAGACCTTTATAGGTTCCTTATATATAATTTAGTAATTTCACTTTTACTATTTATTTAGTAGTTTATACTCACTTTATAATTAGTCCTCCTTTTTTTATTATTTAACTATACTTCTCCTTTACTATATAGTTATTATATTTTACTTAAGTCTTCTTTTTCTTTTCTTTCTTCTACTTAATATATCTTTTACTTTTATTTTCTTCTTACTACTTTTATATTATTAAAGTGAATAGGTTTCTACTATTATACTTCTATATTACTCCCTTACTATTCTCTTACTAGGCCTTCCTTTCTTCTTTATTCCTTTTATTAATATATCTTTTACTTTTACTTTCTTCCTACTACTTCTTTTATCTTTAAAGTGAATAGGTTTCTACTATTATACTTCTATACTACTCTTTTACTATTCTTTTACTAGGCCTTCCTTTCTCCTTTATTCCTTTTATTAATATGTCTTTTACTTTCACTTTCTTCCTATTACTTTCTTAGTTTAAATATAAAAGGCCTTATTACTACTTACTATAAGTGTAATATAATCTTACTATGTGTGTATAGGGTTCTTATATCTTTATTCTCCTTATTTAATAGCCTTTTACTTTTATTTTTTAACCTTATAGCCACTTTACTAGCTCTAGTATAGGTTATTAAGGATAAATATCCCTTAAGGCCCTATTTCCTACTTTTTTTCCTCTTTTTCTTTAAGAATTATTAAATTTAATATATTTTAATACCTTTATTACTTTTATATATATATATTATATTATT